GAGAAATGGAGGTTGGATTTGGAGAAATGGAAGTCCAGGAAGGCCGATTGAAATGGTTTCACCATATTGGGACGAGTCTGTAGAGCTTGGAGGGATTGAAATGGAGGACGGATTTGGAGAAATGGAGGTTGGGGAAGGCCGATTGAATTGCCTTCAAGACTAGGGATTTCAAAGGAGATAACCCAGACAAGCCAAGGATGAGTTTTTTGCGCTATACAAACGTATTTAACTCATATTATATTTTTTGAACCGAATGGTGTAACCGTGGTGTCGGTTGGTAGGGTAAATACATCATTATCCTTATACAAATTATTTACATAAAATATTGATCATTTAATTCATCTTAAAATAGGTTTTTTGTGTTTTAAGGTATAATTAAGTTAAAAGTTTAACTATTTTATCTTTTTATTAATTAGTATTGAAAAAATAAAAGTTAATTATTATGTTATTTTTTATTTTGATGGATTCGAATCAAATGTGAATGCAAAATTTACACTTGATCTATTTATAATTCTTATTGATTTAAATTGTTTTTCTTATTTTTTGGACTGAAATCTTCTATTCTAATTTCAAATCTGTCCTTTGAATATATTTCTTTTTGCATGTGAAGCTATAATAACTAGTAAATTCAAAACTTGTTTTCAATTAGGTTAAAGTACCATTTGGTCCCTCAACTTTCTACTTGAGTACCAAAATTGTCCCTCAACTTCAAAAACTACTAAAATTATCCCTAATGTTTCATTTTTGATACCAAAATGATCCTTCCATCAATTAAATGAATAGGTGGCATGTTAAGTTGCCTGAAAATGATACTTTTTTTTTTGTTGAAAAAATACTGATGTGGAAAAGAAAACATAGGTAAGTTGATGATGTGACACTTTTTTATCTACGTGGCATTTTTAATTTTAACAAATAAATAAGGGAATAATTATTATTAATTTATTAAAGTCATTTCCAAAATTAACCTTCTTCTTCATTATTCTCATGCTCTTCTTCAGTCTTCCCCTCTTTCTCTCTCTTGTCCCTGGGCCATCATTCATCCCTCATCTCCTTCGATATCTCTTCCCTTTCCATTTTTCTAGTTCATCCCCTTCCTCATTTCATAAATTTTATTTAAGTAAATTTTGGTACCCTAAAGAGAGGAAAGAAAGGGACACAAAGACATTCTCCTTGAAGAAGTGTCTAGGTTTGGAGAAACTCTCAAAATGCAAAAGACTATCTTATCCAAAACTTCGTTGATTTCAAATTCCAAACCCTAAACCCGCTATTTATGCTATTTCTCCTCTTCCTTGTTACAAAACCGTGATTTTCTTCCCCATTGGCAAAATTTTGCAAAACCCACATCAAGTTTTGACTCCAAATTCCAATATGAAAAGGGTATCCTTGAAACTCACAAGAAACCCCCTACAAACAACCCTAAACTACCACCTAGAATAAACCACAAAAAACTCAAAATTCCTACTATTGATAACGTTTTGTTTTGAAATCGAAATCAATATTGTCTTCTTCTTTTTTGTTGTTTGTGTCGACGCTGTCATCAGAGTATCTTCCTTTGCTTTTGCTCCTAAGAAAATCTTTCAAAAACACGCATCTCTTTGAGAACCTAGATCTGGGTTGGTTTAAGAACCTAGGTCTGGGTTGGTTTGAAAGAACCCAAATCTGGGTTTGAGAAAACCCAGATTTGGAAAGGAAGAAGAAGGGAAAAGAGAAACCCAGATCTGGTGAAAAAGAAGAAAGAAGAAGGATGAGTAGCGAAAGGAAGGAGGAAGGCTGATAGAGAAATGAGGAGGCAAAGTTAAAGGGTTCTAGGGTTTCACAGGTCTTGGATGGGGAAGAGAGTGAGAGAGTTTGATGTGGGTGGGGATCGAAATTGCAAAAAAAAAAAAAAGAAGGCAATATAATTTTCACGTGGGCCCCACTAAAATGGAAAAGATGAAAAGTGAAATATAATGTGTAAAACATGCCATGGTGTTAAAATTTTCTTCGTTGGGTTTTACACATCATTAACATTCAAAAAATCAAGTGATTTTGTGGTACTTTAATGTGTTACATGTTCATTTAACTGATGAAAGGATCATTTTGGTACTGAAAATAAAAATTTAGAGATAATTTTAATACTTTTTAAAGTTAAAGGACAATTTTGATGCTAAACTGAAAAGTTGAGGGACCAAAATGGTACTTTAACCTTTCAATTTTACTGACTTTTCAAATGGTTCAAACATCTGAAACTAGGTGTTGAAACTCTTAATACATCTGACTCGTGAAACTTGTTTGTTTAGTTTCAAGTTTCAATCTCTCCTTGCATCAAGGTGCAAAACCTCAAATTCAACTGAGTTGTTAAATTGTCCAATCGCTATATCCTAGTTCAAATCCCTCGATACAAAATTCTTAGTTAATTAACTTTCCAATTCAAAAAGTGAGTCTTTTCATTAAAAAAAAAAAAATGCCTGTAATCAAAATTGGGCTGTGTTTCGGCGGGAGTATATCTTATACCCTTACCTTTGATTAAATTAATAAAATGATGATTTGCCTTAAAAAAAAAAAAAAAGGCAAGTCTTTTCAATTGGCTTACGATGGTTATAAACTTCTGATTGAACAAGATTGAAGGATTTAACAAATCAAGAGGCACGGAAAAGAGCAACCCCTAGGGCACTGAAACGTGAAAAACAAGAAGAGATCAACGCTTTCTTCTTTTTCCTCTGTGAAACAAACTAGATTTTGAATTATTCTTACTCTTTTTCATTGTAACAAATAAGAGAGGTGGATATCATTACATTAACGTGATTCAAATTTGGATTATGCTATGCAAGTTAAAACATTTGAATGGATCAAAAAGCAAAGTAGCTGGATGATCTATCTTTGAATGATATATTTTCTGGAAAAGCAAAATTTATTTAGTACTAGGAGTACTCAACAGCAAATCAGGGCCTCAACCAAAATTAATTGATTATCACAATTATCTTCGAATGAAATGTTATGCTGTGCTAGTTAATATATTTGAATGGATCAAAAGCAAGGTAGCTGGATGTGTTTCTTCATTTCATGACTAACAACAACGCCGGTTGAGCGTGCAACTGCTATGAAAGGGCACAAGTGTCTTCAGAAGCAATTCCTTAATTAGGCATCAGCAAATGCTACGTTAATTAAAAACCGAGACGTCGGTTCGTTGGATGATATTGAGTGGTTGCTTGTGTGAAGCTTCTAGGTTATTTGTTTTGCTTGTTTTGTTTTAGTTTCGCAGGAATGTATTTTTGAATAGGTAAGAGTACTTATTGTACTCCAAATAATAAAATTTGCTTTTGTTGATAAAAAGGAAAAAAAAAAAAAAAACTAATGTAGTCTGCTCCACACTGGTGAATCGGCTTGATGTTTGTAATTTCTTCTTTCCTGATAAAATCTGCAGAATTTAAATAAACGGGACTTATGTTATCACTACTAGAAAACAAGGTTTAATCGACAAAATTTTTTGTTAATTATAAGGAAAATTCTGTTGATTATATTTATAATCGACAAAATAATAGACAGTCAATTTTGTTGAATAAACAAGGATCGAAAGTAAGTATAATTCACAACATTTCTATTGATTATATTTGTTTCAACAATAAAAAAAATTTAGAATTAAAAAATGTAGAATTAAATTTTTAATTTTGTAGTTATTAATTAAATTATAAAGTCATTAAACAAAATTCAATCATAAAATCAATTAAGTTTTTTTTTTTTTTTTTT